ATGGCACAATAAGCCCTCAATTTCAGGATCAGCCTTTAATGCCAAAAGTCAGTAACTTAGGATAAGTCTATACTTAATAGCAATGCCCTGAAGGATGTTTTGTAGGGGTGTGTGAAATGGGCCATATTCGGCTCCAATTCGGCCCGAATCAGGGACAGTGATTCAATGTGTTGATTTGGATTACGGTCCCTGATTCGATTCAGCCAAATCTGAAGATGTGACGCTGATTCTCTGAATCAGCAATTTGGCCATAGACACAGCTTTAAATGTTTTTTCTACATACCTCGAGGTACCAGGTGCAGCTTGTAAACTCTGTTGTGCTGGGGCGGATGGAGCGTCCCACAGTAGCATGGTGGAGGGGCCTCCATGTGCTTGGCGGCGAACCCAGAAATGGACTGGAAGTACTTCTGGTCCACTTCCTGGTCTGCCATGGAGTGCACAGGGGCCCCCACCCCCTGTGCCTCCCCCGCTCAGCACTCAGCTGCAGGAGGACCCCAGGTGTCCCCCAGACCCAGGAGGCACCAGTTGCTGAGCTGGGGGGCGTGGGAGCCCCCACTGCAAGCTCTCCGGCGGACCTGGAAGTGTACCAGAAGTGCTTCTGGTCCGCTTCTAGGTCCACTGCTGAGCATACTGGGGAGCGTCAAGTGCTCCGGTGGGAAGCTCCCTCTGCCCCACCATCGCAGCATTGATGAGCTGCCTGGTACCTTGAGGTATGTAGAAAAAAAACATTTAAAGCGGTGTCTATGTCTGAATCACTGAATCTCTCCAAATCAATTCAGAGGGTTTTGATTAGATGTGGAGAGAGATTAAAAGGTCCCCTGATTTTATTTGGATTTGGAGATTTGGCCACTGAATTGGGCCGAATCTCTGCTGAATTGAATCAGGGACCAAAGCTTCACACAGCCCTAATGTTTTGCTGTACACCTGGGCTGACTTACACTGGAAGTACTGTAGCTACTTCGAGGTAGCACCGTGGGTGCGGATGGTGCAAGTGAGCTTGCACAATTCAGCTAACTTTGTTACTCAATACTGGAAATCAGTCCAACCAAAGAGCAATGCAGGTGCAGTTACTCTGCTTCTGGTATAGAAAGCACATAGCACAGTGTGGCATGCCTGAAGGTGCAGTTGCTGGGTGTCAAGTGTTATCAGGTTTCACAAAGAAACCCAACAGGTGCCAGAAAGACAATCCATGATTTAATAAAAATGGAAGGGATGGAAGGGAATAAAAACTCTGCTTATTATATGTGGACTTGGTACAGAGCATGCATTCAACGTTTAGAAATGCAAAATAAATACTTACGCAACAATAATAAAAGTGCCAAAATTATTAGTGCAATTGCTCCAGGTCCCAGTACAACAGATGAACCAATTAGTGCATCCCGGCAGCTGCCACCCTCCACACATGTACAAACGCTCAATTTAAGGATTTGTTTTTCAGGACAGCTGAATCCTTGATGATCTTGCACTAAGAGCTGAACTTCACTCTTGCCAGGTTTTAAATTTTGTGGCACCAGCTGAATGCTAGTTTCTTTGGAGAAATAAAGAAATTGTAAAGAAGAAATATAAGGAGTAAAATAAAATATGAGCAGGGGAATATCAGAATTTGTTTCTTCGCTTACTAAAGTGAAAATAAAATCCTTACTAAGACAAAAAAACCCCTAATCAGTACAGGAGAACTGACCTTAAATAGCTTCAGCAAAAACATATGGGGTGCGTCCAGATGAATGTGCAAGTGCAGTTTGCTGCACTGCAGACCTGTCTGTGGTGCTGCAAACCACATGTGCTGCACATGCATGCATTGGCTGCACTGCAAATCAGCAGCGCTGGGGGTGGGGGGGTTTACGCTAGGAGATCCCAGTGTAAAAAAAAAACAAAAACACAAAGAAAAGTGGGGTAACATGTGACAGCAATGTGCACCACCCAAAACTGGAGCCTGGCCAGCTACAGCCAGGCTCCGCCTGCCCAGATCACAGCTGCTGGCCCTCCACGTGGGGCTTCCAGTGGGACATCACAAATAGAGGCACTGAGTCATGTGCCATCAGGCCAGATAGGCTCCACACCTCTACATGAGGTTTCCTGCTGGAGTGCTGGAAGCCCCACATGGAAGCACAGATCCAACCAGCCCAGTCTGATGGCATGCAGCCCATACCCAACCACAACCCCCTCCCCCCCTGCAGGCAGGAGCTCCTCTCCCCACTTACCATGCTGTCTAGTCACACAGCTCTGTGCCTCCACATTATGGAGGTGGAGGTACAGAACCTGCTGTGGTTAAATTATGTAAAATTGTGCAGTTATGCACAGTCACGCTTTTTATATGCAAAATTCCATGGGCACATAAACTGCTTAATTCCCCAGGATGTAATAGGTGCCCAAAAAGTTTGGTAATGAGAGCTCTCTTCTATCTGGAGCATGTCCTCAAAGCAGCTGCAGGGATGGCAAAGTGTAATTAAGGGGGACTCATCCTGCTCATTCTACTGTGCAATAACAATCCCACAAAATTGCTGATGGGTGGGTGCTTATCCAAATCAGAGTGCAAATGTCATGTCACCAGTATATTGTGGGAGGTAGGACTGCTACTCAATGCCATTGCTTTGGTGGTCACCCCCTTTTTCTACAACACTGGAGAATCTTGGGGAACTAGCAATCTGGCATTTTGTTTTTCCATAGTTACATTATTAACTGAGCTGCTTTGCACACAAAGGACAATGGCATCTCCTGCTGCAAGGCTACAACTCCAAGTTCAGTAACATAAAAAGGAACTTTCTCTTCACAAGATCCCTTCTTGAGGGCTGAATTCCAACATCATCCTCAAGTGCTCACTTGTCATACAAAGTGACTCTGCCTGGTATGATCACTTAAAGGCGAGGGAATTGGTCTTATTCCATGAATACTGCATTCTGCAGCCATTGGAGAGAACAGAGAATGGAACCAAACTTCAAAATTCTAGTCCTTCATGTGTGACGCAGTAGACATTGGGTACTTTTTTAGCTGAGGCAAACCCCTGGAATATAGAACTGACTAGATTCAACATGGTAGCCAACATTTTAGGAAAAAAATAACTCAAAGTGACACTTTCTTACCATTTATGGATCCAATCACCCATTTGTTTACCATTCCTTCAGGTTCATCAATAACACTAAAAGTGAAGGGGGAACTATTTGGATAAGCATCTCTATCTACAGCTGTAACATTGATGAACTTTATATTTGAACACACAGTTTGCTCTGGATTCACAATAGTAGGACAATTATCATTGTCATCTTTAACCTGAAGAACAATGGTACCAGTGGCTGTTTTCTTAACAAAACCTGAAAATATTAAATGTAAAAAATTAATTTTAGTTTTTACAAGTTATATTACAAATTAGTAATATAAATTTCAAAGCACAACTATAATAAGGCACATTTTATAAAATAAGTACAGTAAAAGCTTCGTTAACTGGCACCTTACAAGCTGGCATGTTTTATTAACTGGCATGCTGGCTTGTAAGGTAAAGTGCCCACTGTGGCACTTCCAGTTTCTCCAAGCCCCCACAGTCCGGGGCTAAGCAGCCTGCGCAGCTCGGGGCATAGCAGGCTGCGTGGGGCCTGCCTCCCTGTCCCTCAGGGCCCGCGGGAGGGGCGGCAATGCGATGGGAGGGTCAGCGATGCCACAGGAGGGGCCATGATGCCCTGGACGCGGCGGGAGAAGTGGTGGCCCAAACAGGCCTCTCAATTAACTGGCATATTTTGTTATTCAGCACCCCCCATTCCCCATGGGTGCCGGATAACAAAGCTTTACTGAAATTGAATTAAAAAGAATTATGATATAGAAGCAAACAAAATGCTAAGCGAGAATATTAAACATACATTTCACAACTGTGAGGGCTCCTTTGGCTTAGTAACTCAAACCATATAAAGTTCTAGTGGATTTGATAAATTCTGCTAACTTTTAGTACTCAGGGATTATGAATTTCCCCACTGACAAGGACTGTTCCTAATATACTGGCTCTGGACAAAAGCATTTCTTTCTCTTCTCTTGTAGAATAGTTTAGAATCAAAATGCATATTAAAAAATTAATTCTATAGTACCACTACAATTTTTGGATGAGTCTGTGCTGGATCCATTAGAGACAAAGAACTGACAGTCCAGAGAAGAGAGGATTAAGCTGGCTAGGGGGGCACTGATAAAGATTTTTTTGGCTGATACCAATGGCCGATTATTAATCAGCCATATCATCTGATACTGATCTGATAACTGATATGCAGCCCAGCAGCTTGGAAAGTATCCTCCTGCAGGTAAGTCTGTGGGGGGGGAGAAGGGTAGATCAAGGCCCTGATGATGAGGGAGAAAGTGGGGCAGGCGCTGCCCATCCAGGGAGGTGAATGCGACCCCACTGGGAGTGGGACAGAGCCGCAGACAGCTTGTCTGGGGAGCACAGAGGGGTGGGGAGGGACACAGCTCCCTGCCACTGCATACAACCCCGGAGCTGGCATGGGGGGCAAGTGGCTCCCTAGACTTGTGTGTGGGGCAGAGGCAGGCTGCCCACTGTAGGTTTTGGGCCAGGGACTGTGCCAGCTTCTTTCTGGCAGGGGGGCTGGACTGGGGCAATGCTTTAGGGAGGACAGTGGTGGTGGTGCTGAGGGATGGCTACAGCCCACCCTGTAGTCACCCCTACCAGCGCTCCTACTGCCTGCCCCACCTCCACCTGACCTGAGGGCACCCCTTGCCCAGCCCACCTGCCAGGAAGAGTCTAGTGCAGCCCCCCAGCCTAGAGCGGGCAGCCTGCCCTCATCCCATGCACAAATCTTGGCGGGGGTGGGGTGGGGAGCACATGCCCCCCATACCTCCCCAGGGGGCCTTGATCTGCCCCCCTCCACCCCATCCCTCCCCCATACCCCTTCCCCCCCACAGGTGTACCAGCCAGATGCTGCTCTCTAAGATGCCAGGGTATGTTTCTGGCTGTGTGCATGCTGTAGCTGTGTGCATGCACATGGCATTTATCAGTGACATTATCGGCTACAATGGTGAAAAAAAGCCAATTGCCAATAATGTTAATTTTCCATTTATTGGTGCCAATCCAATATGAAACCAATATATTGCTGCATCTCTAAAGATGGCTTTAAACACTTGTACACTTCCTGGATTCTGGACTAATTCAGAACAGCCCCCAGTATAGACAGTTGTGAGGGGCAAAGTTGCAGAATCCCGTCTTTGTCCATTTATGTGCAGAAGTGCTGGTGGCTAGGATACTATCCTGGGAAGTGGTAGACAAGTAGAGCCTAGAAGCCAGGTATCCAACTTTCTGTAGTACCTTCTAACCATTAGATTATAATATAGGTAGGGTCCTACCACGCCTGCTGTGATTTGTACTAAGAGCAATGCTGTTGGTATACGGAAGGTTAACACTTACTGGATCAAGAAGCTAAGCATCTATACAGTCCAAAAAGTAAGGACAAAACGAATGTAGGCACTTAAGTTCTGTAGCTTATTCAAGAGGGAGTATTTTAGATTGCCTTTTTTTTTTTTTTTTGGAGTGTAGGGTCGGAAGGGACCTCAATAGATCATTGAGTCCGACCCCCTGCACAGGCAGGAAAGAGGGCTGGGTCTAGATGACCCCAGCTAGATGCCTATCTAACCTCCTCTTGAAGACCCCCCGGGTAGGGGAGAGCACCACCTCCCTTGGGAGCCCATTCCAGACCTTGGCCACTCTAACTGTGAAGAAGTTCTTCCTAATATCCAGTCTAAATCTGCTCTCTGTTAAATTGTATCCAAGTTCCCGAGCTCAGGCACCTAGCTTGCCACTGTGGATCTGGCCCCAAGTTAAGCAATGCACAGTTTGTGAAAAAAAGATTTCTAAATGCATGTGATATGAAAAGAAAAGCCTTACAACTCACCATCAGTTATGGCCAGTACAGTGACAACATAGGTACCATTGACTGTGGAAAGCAACTCATAATCAGGTACTTTAATAAGCGTGATTTCAGCTGTAGCAGAATTTACGTTGAACCAATTATATATATCATTGCTTTTGGCATACCTGTTTAAAATGATAAAAATAAACATAATTATAGACATTATACACCTGAACAAGGCATACAAAATCAGTTTAAAATTTACTCTACATCACTGTATCTTAATTTTCCCCACAACTGCTACATATTTTTTCCTAAGTAAACAAGCATCATGCAACAGCATCTCTAGGAAAAGTTTTAGCAATTGGATTCACTAGTAAATATCAGAAGGGATACTCATGTGTTCCCATATAAACTAAAACAAATAAATATTCTGGAGGTAACCCCACACATTCTAGATAAGATCTTATAGATAGGGGTCTATCGAACTCAAGATGGCTGGCTGATTTCGCAGGCAAATCCCAGGGCTGACTGCCATTTTTGTGGGTTGAATGTGGTGGGGTCCCCCCTTCATCTCTGATTGGCTGAGGGACCTTGATAGTCCTGCCCTTCCCTATAGATTGCCACATGGCCCAAAACTGTGGCTTAATTACCCTGATTAAGCCTGGGGAAGCCATTAATTAATTAATTAATGGATTAAATGGCTTCCTTGGGTTTAATCAAGGAAATTAAGCCATGGTTTCCAGTGGTGGGCTCACTGCCAAAAAAACCCCAACCTTACTGGCAAACAGAGAAAAGGGCAGGAAGCCCTGCAGTTTTGGAGAACCTGGAAGGAAGGGAAAAAGGGAGAGGGGGATGGAGTGGGGGTGGGGCTGCTTGCAGCATGAGGTGTGGAGGCTGCAGGCAGCTGCATGATGGTTCCAGGTCAGCTGTACCAGGCACTTCCATCTGTGGCTTCCTGCATGTAACAAGTTGGACCAGGGCTCCACAGACCCTGGTGCAGCCCCCTGGCTGCTTGCCACAGGCGGCTCAGGGCTACGGTGCAGAGCAGCTTGCAACCATCCTGCTGCAAGCAACCCCACTCCAGCCCTCTCCCTTGTTTCCCGTGCTCCAAAGATGCATGGCTGCCTGCCCTTTTCTCTGCTTGCTGGTAAGTTTTATTTATTTATTTATTTTTGCTGCGAGCCTGACAAAATCATGGATCCCACTATTTTTCATGAAGCCCACCCAATTTCATGTTCTCTCTGAAAATCATGTGCTCATGAATTTTGTAGGTCCTTCTCTATAAAATATCACCTTGTTTACATTGTAATAATGCTACATATCTATCAAAGTTGAGACCGTACAACTTGCAACATAATATCTATACTATATATGCAAAAATCTCAGAAAACATACTTTAGAAAGGATTGGTCGCTAATCCAAATAAGATTCTTACTTGATATGTTGTGCTATTTTTCCTGTGTCTTCATCATAGGCTCGATATGTTGCAATAATCTGGTTTATGCTCATAGTCTCATTTGCTTCAATTGTCAATGTGTTGGGCTTGAATACAGGGCCTTCTGGTACATTTTTTACTTTAATATTGATTGGAATTGATTTTGCTTTGTAGCTATTTTTAATTGATTTGTGAAATTCTGCTTTATTTGTAACAACAATGCTCATTTTTACATTCTGCAATTCCTCATAATTGATCTCCTAGAAGTACAGAAAGGAAACAAAGCTTCACCAACTGAATAAACACGGGATTTGCCACACCATTAATGATTCATTCTTTAAAACCTTTTTCTTTGTTTAACATGCATTAATATTGTATTGGTGAAAGGGGAGCCAGGTTGAAAAAAAGAAAAAAGAATGCTCATTAACTTATCAGTGTATTTTACACACACACACACACACACACACACACACACACACACACACAAAAAATATCCTGAAACATAGCATACAGGGTAAGAATCTTTGTACTGATAACATTAAAAATTTGGTGAAGAAGTCTTCAGCTCTTTCCTTTAAGATTCGAAGAGAACAGTCTTTCCTTATTTCAAGGCTTGAATTTCACTCACCTGCATCACAGCAGATATTGGAGCATACTGACTTTACATAGGTTTCATATAGTCTAGTTTTCAATTTTTGTTTTAATCAATTTATTAAAATCAGTGCTGAGAATGCATTTTATCTGTCAACCTTGAATCACTCCATAAAAGCAGTTAAGCATTTCTACTCCAAATTCATAGATGGAAAAATGAAAGTACAGGATGATACAAGGCCTGAGGCTAAGCATTCTTAGTTTATTTCAAACTTAAAGGGAACTGAGGTTTCTCAGCAGCTTGCAAAGATCAGGTCCTAAATAATTTTCCTGAGGACTTAAAGGAAGCATCCAAACAAGCGTGCATGTTTGGTATGTGGCACCCACAGGCTCATCTGCACATGCCATGCATTTAGGCATTCTCCAAGCCACTAACTTGTAGCATGGGGGGGTTGAGGAGAGGGGGTTTGAACCTGGCAGCACCTGATAAAAAAAACCACCACCAAAAAACACCCCCCCCGCCCCTAAAACAAGCAGGGTGGCACGTGTGAGGGTAGTGTGTGATGCCCCAAAACAGAGCCGGGCCACCTGGAGCCACACTTCGGCTGCTGGCCAGGCTCCCTGCTGCTGGATTACCACAGCTGCAGCCCCAGAGGCCTCCAGGACCCCAGGTTAGGTTGCTGGGGCCAGCCCAGCTTCCCCTACCCCACCCAAGACAACTTGCCGCACACCACAGTGCATGTGCGTGGGTGTTCCCTGGAGAGAAGCACCAGTACAACTGTGTGCTGCTGTCTTTGTTCCTAGGGACTTGCACATGTGTGCTTGTCTGGATACACCCAAAGAGAGTAAATGGCAGGGCCAAGGATAGAAAGAGAGGCCTCTTAAACTGAAAGGGAACAGAATTTCCTTTATTTTAATGCTATCTGCATAAGGTAGGTACAATTTATAAAGGGAAGAAAGTTCTTTGTCTAGATTATTTGCTGTTCACATTCTGATAGAATTCAATCAGCTTAAGTATAAACTAGTAGGCAAGGTAACTTTTTCTAATATTTAAACGGAATCTGAAGAATACACTTACTTTTATAAGCATCACAATTCCTTCATTTGTCTGGGTATCTGTTTCTATATGGAAATAACCACCTTCATTTCCAGAGGTAATTGTAAAGTTTGCCAGCCAATTATCGGAGAATTCTTCATCTCTGTCGAACACTTTTATTCGCATAACTTCCATGTTTGCTGTATTTTCTTCAACACTTCCTTCGTACTGTCGTAAAATGATATTATATGCCTTTCAAAATATTGTCTATACTGTTTGACAGAAATAATATTTTACACATAATGCAATATTAAATTTTCTATTGCCAGACACAGAAATGCATGCAAATCATTTAACAAATATACCTACCACCTCCTTTTCAAGGACAGGCAGATTGTCATTAACATCTACAATCTTGATCTGGGCAGTGCACTGTTGAGCATTTCCAGCTCCATCCCGGTCTTTTGCTTCTACAGTCAAATGGTAGCTACTTTTTTCCTGTGTGACATGCAAACAATTTTTTAAATCTATACAGAAATCAGATACTAATTTACATGTTTTTTCCCCCTTTACTGTATTCTTTCTGCTGCTACGTGGTGATCACTACTCTAAAAGGGCTGACTGACAATCTGTTCAATTAGTATTACATTCCATTAAACGTAAATCATCCTGATGTCTGAATTGGTCCATTAGAGTCTTGAGCTCAGGAATGGACTGTGGACTTGCTTTGTTCATACTAAGTTGCCTAATTCATTAGTAGTTTAATTGGTAAAGCTTTTACTTCAAAGGGTACCACTCTTATGATCAGCTAGGGTTACTCCATGGTTCAGTCCTTTCTGATATACTTGGGTGTTAAACCCCCCCATCTCCAGAATAGGGATGTAAATATTGTTTTTAAAACTATATGTTTAAACTTCTACAATTATATCAATTAAACACTTAATTGATAGGTCATAGTAGTTTAGTGACCTTGGGCAGGAATGATCCCAGGCCCAGATGTCTTCACCATATGCTTGGCAGTGTGCAGGCAGCAGGCTGGCTGGTGGGAGCCAAGGGCAGAGGGTGGTAAGCACAGCTGAGACACTAAGGGATGCTGCCCAGCTGCAGAGCTGTGGCTTCCTCTCACTCCCACAGGAAGGGGATTGATCTGCAGACCTCTCCTGTGCCCAGATTCCACTGCTATGGGGAGGAAGGGAGGTGCTGGGCCCTCCACAGGAGTCAGACTGGGCCTTCCCGCCATAGCAGTGAGACTCCTGGCCACACAGTGAGTCTGCACAGCTCCTCTGAAGCAGAGGGGCCCATGCAGAGCAACAGGTTCCCTGTGCCTCCCGCTGCATGTGTGCTGCTGTGGCCCAGACATGGAAGGTTCCTGCATGCTACTAGATGCTCCTCAACTTGCCCCAGGTGAAGGGGAGGTCTGGTCCCAGTGGGGCGACCTTCCCCTCCTGCCTGTGATGCTAGGGCCGCGTGGAGCCTGGCTCGGCCCTGTGGCAGGGCTGAGTGTGTGGCTGGCTGGGCCTGAGGAGCTGCCATGGCTGCTGGAGCAGGCGATGCTAGGGCTGAAGGGTTGTTGTCAGCCCCTTGCGCGGTGAGTGTAGCTGCAGGGAGTTCCTGAAGGGCAACGGTGCAGCAGTTCCAACCTGGAAGCCCACTACTGCAGCCCTAACACTTCCTCCAGGATCCCTGCTGTGCCACCCTACTGTGCCCCAGCCTCTACTCATGGAGTCAAAGGGAAGTCATGGCTCCTCAGCTGGGCAGCATCCCTTCGTGGCTCAGCTGCATCTGCCATGCCCTACCCACAGCACCCCACCAGCAGCCTGGGGTCCACACAAAACTGGGTGAATGGTGAAGACAAATGGAAAGGGTTGGGGCCAGAGATCACTAAATGGTAAATATTAAACAGTAAATGGTATAAATATAAATTGTTTAACCATTTTCATCCCTATTCAAAAATGCTAGCTGGGGGTTATGAGGATGCTCAAAAGGAAATATGTCTGAAGATACCACCATCTATTGGCTAGTAAGACTAAGTAACATCACATATAAGTAAGTTAAATAAGGTTGTTAATTTTTAACATACAACTTTTAAAAGGGAGATGTTATAGAACTCTGGCAGTGACCATTTGCATCTTAGTTTTTATACAGGGCCAGAAAATCTAGAGGCAGCGTAGTATACTGCTAGTTTCACAGAACCAGATCATGATCCCTGTCAGCTTTATCATACATTTATACAATAAAGTAAGGAGACACATTACTTGCGCACAAATACTAATCTTATAGTGGATAATAATACTTATACAGCAGAAAAGTGGCCAACAAGTCATTACTTAGGGTGTAAAGGGTGAGCATTGCCAAACTCCTTCTCCCCAATAAAATGCACTAGCCAGCACAAAGGAGGATATTAAGATAAGCAATGAAAAGGCCTGTGCATTCAGTCTCAGATGGGCTGTGGAGTTACCAGTCTCAACATGAGCCTCTAATGAAGAGGATGATGAAACAGTAGGGGAAGAGAAATGGAAATAGCGTTAGCAGAACGAGACAGAATCAATATGAGATTGTAGTTTACCTCTCTGTCAAGGCTTAACCATGCTGTAACCTCACCAGTAGCTTTGTTAATGTGGAATGGAAGGGGCTGACTAGCATCTTGAACAATCTTAAAGGCAATCTTGGCATTTGGAGTGGTTGGATCATCTGCATCTGTTGCATTTATTTTCATCACAAGTGTACCTGGGAATTAAAAGAAAATATTGATTTACATTGCCTCTCCTCGTATATTGGTAAATATAATTTATATAAAACATGAAAGAGTGCGTTTTCAATCCCAGTGAACTATTTTTTATTGTACCGCTCATTACGCATTTAGTTAGTGGAGTTGGAGAATATTCACCAATATGTCTTAAGAGTGTATGTTCAGTGAACTAATATATAACAGGCTCAACCTACTGAAACTCACCACACTGGTAAAGATGGATTGACTAACATGCCGACGATTATTACAAACATTCTGATAGAAACTGTATGGATATAATTCAATAAAAGGATAGAAAATAGAAACAGGAAAGTTCCTTCATGCCAGCCTCATGCCGTTTTCCATACCTGCCAACCTAAACAGCATTACTTTACAGAAATAGTCCTTAGAACACCACTTGCTGTGTTGTAATGAAATGTATATGTATCCTTGCCCTCTGATGGCAACAGACTAAATTATGTCAATAACAGATAATGCAGATGCTCTTCTAGCTGTAGCAACAAAAGCCCAGGCTCTTGAAAAAGGCATATCTGAGTTGAAATAAAGCTTCTAAAGCCATATTTGATTTTTCCTAAATCCTGCTTGATTTGCAGAAGTATCAAGATGATCCTATTAAGCTCAGTGAGAGCTGAAGGAATATAGTCCCTCACAGAACTGGATGCTCAGTGATTTCTTTCACAATCTGCCCATCAAGGTTGTCCCTGGGGGGAAAGGAGGGAGGGGGGGTCAAT